AAACCGTCTTAGCTGAAGAGGACTCCTACCCTGCCAAAATTTATATTTGTGTCCCCTAGTCCTACTATTCTCATTGTTAAATATGAAAAAAAGACGATGCATCAATACTATCAATTCCCTTTACAATCTTAAACACCTCTATCAAATCTCCCCTAACTTCTTTTTCATGAGAAACAATTTGAGAGATTTCAGCCTCTCCTCATATGACAACCCCTCCATCCCAGGCACCATTGTTGTAACACTTCTCTGAACCCTTTCCAACAATTCAATGTACTTTCTAAGGTAAGGAGCCCAAGACTGAACACAATATTCCAAATGTGGCTTAACCAGTGACCTGTACAATGAAATTATAACTTATTTGGACTTGTATTCAATATTTTCCAAATTCAGTGACTTTCTGTTTTTCATGCCTTGGGAAAACCCTGTAGTGTAGGTAACTTTGTTCAGAAGACAATGGCAATGTAAGTATATATGAAACTAAATATGAATTTTGAACTAGTACTTCAGTGGCCAATACAAGCTATGGCTCGATATTGGTGCTTCTACTTATAGCCTATACTATAGCATATATATATAATGTAGACTTAATAGTAATGCTAATAATTATAATAATATACAATTTGATGAATATTACTAAATTAGATTTAATATTACAGTTTATGTTATAGTTTATACTATAATATAAGCTTAGATATTCTGTAGCACTTAAGTCTAGACGTATTAAAACGTTATTTATGATTAAAGTAACATCTAGGCTTAGTACGTCCTAATAGTAATACTACTACAGTGAGTATTATTATTAGTTACTAACAATAATATAACAATTTATAAATTATAGTATTATTAACACTAATACTCACTGTATTACTATTATGACGTAAGTCCTATAGATATTACTAAATCTACATGTTAAATCATAAATAACTTTTTCATAAGTCTAGACTTAAGACTACTACATTATCTAAGTAACAGTAAGTTGAGTAACACAGCTGTTACAGTATTACTACTATTAGTCAGTAAATGTAAGTGTAACATGAACATACTGGAACTCGATCTGGGTATTTCTTTCTTATTTTCTCTCCTTCAGCCCTTCGCTTTTCAAAAGGGTGTTCTTCTTTATACTGCCACTTCATTTTAAACTACAAAGTTCATAAATTGAGACAAACAATTTTGTGTTTTTTAAATCTCAGTAGTTCAAATTCTTTATTCTACTAAACAGTAAACTAGGCTACTTGCCAATAATTTAGGAACTGCATATGACATGGGTAAACAAAAGGTGGAATCACACCTGGAACGTTAAAGAAATCATTCAAACCGTAAAAAATATAATTTCTCTTATTTGATTTATTTAAGCTGCAACTTCAAAAGAAGTATATTGCGACATTATGAGCTGCTAGCGAAACTAGCGTGATAAAACCACGATCATGAAGTTTTACTAAATTAAAATGACATATCATTGGAATTTTTGACAAATACACAAATACTTTAGACCAGTTTTACTCCGACCCTTGACTATACAAGTTTGGTCTGTCGAAACTAATAGGAGTTTTTGTTTTTTTAATTCTTTAATATTTTATGCATTATTTTGTTGATGTGTATTATCATTAAGTTTCTAAAAGAAAACAATTCACCAATGCAAGTTGTACTAAATATAAAACATATTAAAAACTACATCCCAAATGTTTGTCGCAACATCGTCGTTAAATCTTATTTTTATAAATATACACTCCTCAATACAGAACATTTTTAATAAGCTACAGACAAGAAAGGTTGAATAAGAAGTGGTGAAAAAATATGCGAAGTTAAAAACATGAATGCAAGCAAGATGACGAAAGGATATTAGGCCATATTACTATGGGTCACCCCTTAAACCGCAAGCAATGAGAGTAGTTGTAATCCATCTCAGTTTTACTTTTCTTAAGCATATACCTATCAAACAACAGCTTAATTACCCCTTTAAGTATTTAAAGTAAGAGGTATGTAAGAATATCGTTTGAAATATATCTTTTGTCACCCACAAGTATCTGCAAAAGTGCACACACGCAAACACGTGTTTACAGAAAATTTAGTCACCCAGAAAGCAAGGGAAGTGCAACTTCCCTATTAGTCAGTTGGTTTTTCAATCAAACAGCTGTCCTAGCTTAAGTAGCACAAGTTATGCAATGATTGTGGACAAAACACTGATACTCCATCAGGTGGCAATCTTCACTCAAAAGATCACATGGATACCTGGAAAGCAAGGGGAACACAACTTCCATTTCAGTCATTGGTTCTTCAATCAAATGGTTATTCTAGTTTGACAGAAGGCTTCATAAACATCTCGACTGACCACTGCTGACCCAGCCCTTCAATGGCTTCTTTGTCAACCACCAGTCAGCCTTACCTCCCACACTGGCTGGCGTGAATAAGCATCCTATCCCTCGATGGACTCGAAGTCCACCTCGGACTGAACAGTATGCTTCAACAGGAAAGTCGTCAAGATTTGAGTCTCCATGATACCTGGAATTTTCGAAGCAATTTTCCCCTCACCTTTGAGGAGGTTTGTACTTTGCACAGATGGTCTTCATCACTTTACTAGCAAGTAAAGCAACTCCCATTGATCGAGTTTCTTTTCTCCAATTTTGCAGGGAAGAGTAACACATGCTGTATCAACTGAGGGCAATATCAATCACAAAGATGGATTTCATCCACCCTCAGAGTGCCACCCTTCTAACTGGTGGTTCAGCTAGGTACTTCTCTTCTTAGAATGGTCCCTAGATGCTGGTCTGAGTATCGGCGAGTGCTTGCCATCTCGCATGGCAGTGAGCCATTTTGTAGTAGTAGAGCTCGTCCATTTCCAATGTATCTTGTCTGTGACACTCCATCATGCAGGTTTCACTATTGAGATTTAACCTCAGGGGAAGAACTTTGTAAACCTTCCGGATGTTCCATATGGTACTCATATTTGCAGCAACGACGAAAATTCCCTATCCATGGAAGACTACTTACATGCCCCACTCTCTCAGTTCGTTTCCTACCTTTCAACAGAACACACACCCTTTAACACACTGAAAATTCAATCTTTACTCAAGCTCCCGTGTGCATTTACTGTCTTCTTAATAAGACAGTGTGATTTACATCATTCTCGTCGGTACTAAAGTTGGAAATTCTTTGATAACGCTGGCCTGTCACGTTTATCTTAGGCCTACATCACAGTTTCCTCCTTACTGACTTCCTTTTTTTTCGTAACGATTGCTGCAATCCACTACAAAGCGTTTGTTTTCTCTCTGTCAAAATTTTGTATGCCTTGTTGTTTTTGTTTATTTTAGAACAAAGCCACATTAGGTTATCTGCGATATCTACTGAGGGGGAATCAAACCCAGGATTTTTGCTTTGTAAATGGGTACACTTACAGTTGAACAACCGAAAGACGGCCTAGTACAGTAGTTACCAACCTTTTCACCACCAAGGACCCCCTTTCATTATTAATTTTTTCTCCACGGACACCATTCTGTGTTCTTCTGTGCATTATTTAATTAATTAAAGAAAATAACTCATGAACCTCCAGTATTACCTTCGCGAACCCTAGGTTGGGAACCACTGGCCTAGTAGTACTCCTGAATGTAAAAAAATATATACAAAAGTGGAGTAAATATTATGTCCAGTAAAATCAACCAGCCATAAAATGCTGTATTTTTTCAAAGCTGTTCGACAAACTCTCTTACTTTATATTATAGAGTAATGGCCAAGTGGTTTTGGGCACTCGACTCGTAATCTCTGGGTTGCGGGTTCGAATCCACATCCTACCAAACATGCTCGCCCTTTCAGC